TTTTATCATCAGGTAGAGTATTCACAGTCGGAGGTGTATATTGACCTGGAGATTTCGTTCACTTAAACAAATCGCCATAGCAAAGGATTTTCAATAATACAGGAGCATATACGTTATACATAGACATTCTACACTATGAAGTGGCAAGTCTGAAAATGCCGTAGATTTCGAGAAATCAATCTCATGGTGCGAATAGCCAGCGGCCATCCTGACACCGATCTACAGTTGCATTCAAAAAACCGCGTGGAATCAGCGGCCAAACAAGCATTCCACGCTGCAGACTTGTTTTTCGTTGAGCGGAGAAGGGGAGTAGTGACATCAGCAGAGGAATCGAATGCACATAGTGAGATGCCAGACTCGATCCGTCAACTTACTTGCATCTGCGAAACTAGATACATTAGCCGAAGGGTGAGTTGTTAAGCACAGCCAAAAGTGTCTACTGAGGTCAAATTCTGACTATCCAGAGAGCGCGTTATCCAAACAAGTTTGAACGGCGGTTACATCTTAGTTCTTCTGCCGGATATTGATATTGTTTTTTTCGCAGGCGTAATCATCTGCTTTCGATAGCATAAACTTTATTTGTCAGCCGATCCACCTCCTTTTTATGTACACAGAGACAGTTAGTGAATGGTTCTTTGGCCTGATGACGGATTAGTTTTTACTTCCAATTTGTAGGAAGGTTTTGTAACTCAAAGTTTGGGACTTAAACGATTTTGTTCTTATCCAGAATAATGCACTAATGATGTAATTCTCGTCTATTCTCAGATTCTTTGAATGGTTATGTAGGTGATCAAAACTCACTGTTGGTCGATTTAACCAACCAATTCGCTTTTGGCTGCGTACGCCACTATGCAGCGTTCGCGTGATATGAACTAGTAAACATAGGTACCCAGCACAACAAAAATAACCCATCAGCTTGAATAGAAGTGTTACCGTGCAGAGCATCCTGTACCGCAAATTTCTTTCTTTCCAGATCCACGTGAGTATGTTTTTTCACACGCTGAGACCGAAACGGATAAATTCAGCTTTACACCAAATGTACTGTTTTACAGACTGTAAAACACCATAGGACAAGTTTCATCAACAGCAGTTCAATGTGCAGACACCATCCTGACACCGGTCTACAGCTGCATTTAAACACCGCGTGAAATCAGTGGGCAAGCAAGCGCGCTACGCTGCAGACTTGTTTTTCGTTGGGCAAAGAGGGGGAGTAGTGACATCAGCAGAGGGATTGAACGCACATAGCAAGATGCCAGACTCGATCCGTCAACTTACTTAGCACTCATCTCGGTGGCAGAAAGCGAAATCACTTGGTAGCATGGGTCGTAGCACTTGCTTTCAGCCTTCAGCGAACGTATTCTGCTATGCGTGCAGTCCTGTAGTTTGAAAGTATTTCTGGTGTGACGAGGAACGCATAGTAACATAGCGACTAAACGGACGTTCTCATCCACAGGGGAATACAGAGTTACTCACTTTACTGTACGTGCCGCTGGTGAACTATTTATGATGGTATTTCAGTGAATGGTGTGTGTGTACCGTGAAACCGGGTGATGAGAAAATCCAAAAAAATGAAGCCACCGCATAACAAGAATTTTCTCTTTTTCAGCTACTAAAACGGCATAAGTAGTACGCATACTCAGGCAATCGTGTGGTCTGATTCTCAAAAGGTGAACGGCCAAGTTTTTTGTAATTAATTTATCCTGTGTTTCAACAACACAGATAGTTGGAATTTGACAAATAAAACGCATAAAATAGAATAAAATAGAAACATATGTGGAGGGCTTATCAGTTTTTAGCATGCTGCTAGATTAAACTGGTTCAGTGGTTCAATATGATCTGGCTCAGAACCACACGATTTAACCAACCCATTCGCTTTTGACCACGTACGCCACTATGCCGCGTTCACGTGATATGAACTAGTAAGCGTAGGTACCCAGCACAACGAAAATAACCCATGAACTTGAATCAAAGTGTTACCGTGCAAAGCATCCTGCACCACGAATTCCTTTCTTTCCAGATCCACGTGTGCATGTCTGTCACACGCTGAAATCGAAATAGATACATTTTGCTTTACACCACATGTACCATCTTCTTATGATATTACATCGGTTGAAACATTCATCTGGATGGCAGAACGCAAAATCTCTTGACAGTATGAGTCATAACACAGCGATTTTTCGGTTAAAAAATGTGCCCAATCTCAGGGGCTGAGTTGGTTGGGACATGTGTTGCGTGTGTCTAGCCATCGTTTGCCGAAGAGAGTGCTGTTTTCCATGCCCAATTAAGGGTGGTGGAAGCAGAGGGGCGGCCAACACGTGACTTGAAAGAGGAGTATGAAGGAGATCATGAAACGCTTGGGTGCTGTGGGTGCTACTTGCCTTCCAGGTTGGAGACCGCGTGGTCCTGACTATGCCAGGTGGGAGACACTACAAGATATGGCTACCAACCGTTGTCAGTGGCGTTCTTGTTGTCACTTTCTATCCAGATTGCCTGAGTGAATGTCTGGAGGCATAGGCACCTCGGGATGATTGTGGTAAGGTAGTGCTAAGTCCCTTCCTCGTCCAACTTTACTCCTTCCTTAACAACGAGGCTTTCAATTAAATCATGGTTGTACGGCAGCGAGCATTCGTTGTTGAACACTGATGTCATGCTGTTGATGGTGATGATGATGATGATTCGGATGATGATGATGTTCTGACTGCGAACGGCATGCGCCTCACACTAGGATTTATAGTCCCACTTAAATAATGACACAGTGAATGAGCATAAATTACTCTGACATTTGACCACAACCAGAAATATGGTCTTTTGTGTTTAGTAGGAAACCTACCATTTGACCGTTGATACATACACGGTTCGGATACTCTTAAGCCATATTGTATTGTAACAATAGCGCACAGAAGATTGCAGTTTGTGACCTCAGGGTTTCGAAAACGTCAACAATTCCATCACATTTTTCACTCAGACTAATCCACCGTTCTCGTCTGAAAGAGCAGACTGTCTTTCCAAAGAAAAACAGAGTGATGAAGGGCGCGGTGAAAGCGTATTTATACACAGGTGTACGAGCAGGATTGCGTCGACCCAGAAAACAAACCATACACCCAAATAACAAGTTTTGGTGAGTGTCATAGGGGAACCGTTATGCTGCTCTATTTACTATGGTGAACACCATCAGGATCAACAATCTCGTGTGAGCATTTTTCCATTTGCTGACGTTTTTTGAGAAATATTTGTGTTAACTAAGGGTCAGCATTTGGCCTGGAATCTGTCAATACATTTCAAAGATTTTCATAATTCCTAGGCCTAATCTTGTTGCACCTTTTTACTTCGTGTTCTATTCTTTACAATTTATTACTTTCTGTGATTGCACTAACTCTTCCTTTAGAGAACTTGACTAACCATGCACACTAACATTGCTGTCATCGATTTTCGATGGATTAGAAAGCATTACCTTAAATGTTTTGGCAGTGTCTATGAGTTATTTTATGGCTCAGTCTCTTTTGTCTTCCTTTAACTTTTCCACTGTACAATCAATATAACAGCATCTTATGTGCTTCAAAATATTTCCATCTTATACCTTCTTAAAAGTATGCAAATCTGCAATTATGCATTCTCGGTTACAGCAACCATTCGAACTACATT